CGCCTGGCCCTGGCCCCGGCCGGGGCCCAGGGGCTGGGCGGGGGGAGCGGGGCCGCCGGGGCCCAGGGGCTGAGCTGCTTGGCACGAGGCCTTCTCCCCCCTCTGCTGAGCTGGCTTCTCGCTGGGCCCCATTGTGTGAGGAGGCGTGAAAAAACGGAGAAAAGCCCGGCCCTCCCTTGGGCACGGGCACCTGGCTCCTTCAGGAGCTGCCCCGAGGGCGCAGCCTGGGGTGCACGTTGAGGGAAGCCCACTTCGTATTGGGTTTGCATTGATGCACTTCGTATTGGGTTTGCTGCGTTGGGGAGCGACGCTGCTTGCTGCAAGGAAGGGCGGGTGTGCAGTGCAGGGCCTGGCTTGCTCCCAGGCTAATTTGCTTGAGGAGCTAGAGCGAGTTGGGCCCTGAAGTCAAGAAGTGAGCGCCAGGCCAGGGACTAGCAGCTCCTTGGCCGTCCATCGTCCCATTCGTTGTTTCCTTCTTGGGGAAAACACCGGTCCAGTGTTTGCACCCGTGGATCAGACAGTGGCTGTGTTGGGGCTCCTGTGTCTAAGTGCAGGAGCTGTGGAGGGGGAGGGGTGATAACATCTGCCCTGTGAAACTGTTTGGTAGACATTTTCCGTGTGAGGTTGTTGTACCATTTAGGGACATTGTTAAAATCCCACTAGATCGTTTCTGTCAATACAATACCATATTTCTAAGAGAATAATTGTGTTGTAATTATTCATTGATGCACACGAACGTAAAGGCCAAGTTTGTGGTCTCTGATTTTAGGGCAGTATTTCTTTTCTGTCATCTTGAATTATGCAGTGAAGTCCTGATTCTCTGTGGGGGTGTTTTACAATGCAAGGGTGAGAACAAGGCCCTGTTACCGAATTAAACGCCTTGAACAGTAACCCACTCTGGCACTGTCATGACTGGGAATCTTGAAGCAGGCCCCGGGTAGTACAGGATTTTTTGATAATCTGTCTAGAGGTTGGTAACCACCAGTAAGAACAGAACAGTGCTTCCAGAACAGCAAATGAAATAAAAACTGTCACTGGCAAAATGCTGTAATTCTTGTATATTATTTTGGGGCCAATATAAGCATTTTGTATTGATATTAAGATTTGAATTATAGAGTACAGAATTAGATTTGTATCTTAAAAAATATATGCTGATTTACAAGGAAATAAGGCAAGAACATTAAATGGGTGAAACTTGTAAGATGACATGAACATGTAAAAAATATATTTATTAATATAAGAAAACAAGTAGCCATAACTCAGTGCATGTTCTGTTCTTCCTTGAATACATCTTGTGAAAACTTTTGGTTTTAAATGAAAAGGTTTTCTTAGGTGGAGAAAAGAAAAATAACCCCCCTGAATTCAGCTTTTGTACCATATGCATTACATATTACCAGATTTTAGAGAATCAGAATCAAGGTGATTTTTGATATTATAGTATGACAGCACTGATTAGATGATGAAAAATAAAATGAGATATGTGGTTTGTATTTAATGATGAAGCTGTTATAGCTAACTTATGCTGTGAATGTTTTAAAAATTTTCTTTGATCTCTGCCAGTACATGCATACAGAATCATATTCAGGAGCCCTAGCTTTATTTTTCAGAGATACTAAATAAACTTTAACTGGAGTGTTGCAATGCTTGGCACCTCTGAAAACAAGGTCATTGACTCTGAAGCAGGTTGGTTTCAAAATATGTTCTGAAAGATAAATAATATCCCACTCATTTTGCTCCTGCACATTGCTGTGAGAAGTGATGCATCCTCATTGGACCCCAGTGGATAATCCTACTGGTGTTCATCAGAGCAGTGTGGGGGGGAAATACTTAAGAATATGCTGTTCACGGTCTGCCCAGGGATTTTTGACATCGGTGTAGCTGTACCAGGATAGATCCCTAGCTTATATACTGTGCCCTGGTGTAATTTACCCTGCAAGAAAACTGCACTGTTGCAGATTACACTGCTCTAACGTCTGCTCCAGGCTCATTTGTGCCTGGAGATTGCACTGACACAAAAACACCTGTGGCTGAGATCTCGGTGTAAACAAATCCTGAGACAGTTATGCCAGCTCTGTCCTCTGTGGCAGCATCAGCGTACCCAATCTGTACTGAGTGGCCCCAAATACAGGATGCCACCTGCTTTTCAGTCAATTGGTCTGATCTAAGCTTGGTCACTGGTTCCTAGGTCCAGGTATATAAGACACTTCCAGGCTTTGAGTCCTTTAGAACATAGTACTCTTCCAATATGGAGCCAGTGCCTCCGACTTCTTGAGCTGTGAGACCTGCCATGTGCACTCCACACTCATTTACCTGTGCACTCTCTGGGCTATGAATGCTTTGGGTTTCTAATTTAAAGGGCCAAGATAAACATTTAGGGTTTTATACGTCAGAGCTTGGGGGCTGGGGTGGTGCAAGCACTAAGAGATACAGCTGACAGCCTAGAGGTCATAAGTTTGAGGCCACAGCAGAAGTTCTCATGGCGTGGCCTATCAACCTCCAACGAATTTGCAAATTCTGCTAAATACCTTGTCACAGGGACAAGGAAAAGGAAGGAACCTCAGAGTTGACTCTATAGAAGAAGCTGAAAGTAAGAAGCCAGTACAACTCCTTGAAAACAGAATATAATGGTTTCTGAGTGATTCTTGACAGCAGCTGTCTGCCGAGTGCATCACAGTGGTTAAATCTAAAAGTCCCAGAAGTTGGCTATTATTTTGAAGAGGTCTAAATCCAGAAGAAAGGAACCTAAGCACTTAATTGTGTATAAAACGTTTTCTGGTCAGTAGCAGCATAGTGTGTTTTTGGGGGGTTCAGAAATACCTTCAAACTAAGCAATCCATTGGTGTAGCTTCTAGATATTATTCCTAACTTATTACCTTTCTTTTGATAGTGTCTGGAAGAAGCCTATTGAATCATTTTTGCAATTTCAAGAAGACATCTGGACAGTTACAGTATCACACTTGTTAGATCTGATGAATATGTCATAGAGCTGATAAGGAGCACTCCCCTATCTCTCATGATGCTCTACTAATTTTACTAAAATCTAGTAGAACCATTGAATTTATAAATGGATACACATTTTGGTGTTTTACTGACTACATTAGCAGAGAAGTAGTTAGTCATGTTACTGTGAAGTCAGGCCGAAGGCAGGGTAGGAATGCACCTTGCATACTAAATCAGAGGTGCATAAGCTCTTGTGATGCCAAGCTCACTTTATAGATGCTGTGAAAGGACATGCACAGAGCAGTCTTACTGGATGATTTGTATACAAATAACAAAAACACTTTAAAAATCAATGAGAAGTGAGAAATTGCAGAACAAGAAATCGTTCCCAGAGTGGAATTTATTACGTCTAAACGGGGACTATGAAGGTTTACCCATTACCTGAATTAACTTTTGTGACCCCTTTATGCCTATGAGTTTATTACTTGTTTGGCTCTCTCCTCCTTCCCTTCTGCCTCTTGTATTCAAGTCACTCTTATCTGATAGACATGAGCTGTACATGTCTTTCACAGCATCTGATGAAGTGAGACTCAGTCTCACAAAAGCTTCTGCATCTCTGATTTAGTACAAGGTGCAGCTCTCTGCTGTCTTCTTATTAGCTGTGTATCATATAGTGTAGCTCCTTGGTCCTGTTCATTTCAGTGTGCTGCAGGAGCTTCACAGAGTGAACTTGGAGCTCTGCTTTAAGTTGAGGATTTCTTGGGTATAGTGGAAATTGTGCCCTACCTGGTGTGTCCCCTTGCCTGCAGTGGAGGAATGTTGGGGAAATGTTAGTACATAGTGTGGCTTGGTGGGTATTGTACTACAAATATCAGACCTGTGGAACAGTCCCTAGGGGACTATTCTAGCCATCCATCCCATGCTACAGCCAGGAAGTGGAGGTGGCATAAAACCACTTTTGCTGGTATTTCCTAGAATAACCTTGTTGCAGTTTATGATTACACTCATACTTTCCAACTCTTGGGAGTGGCTTGTACCCTATTATTTACTATTCAGTGAATGCACAAGTAGTATGAAAAATGCGAGGGATTTGAAGTATTAAGTAGGAAGACTAAATTTAAAAAAATTATAATTGAAAAACTGCCCTGGGGCCTGAGGTAGACATCAGACCCATTTTAGCCTTTTAGTAGTCTTAGGCCAGCAGAGTGGAAGTTCTGCTACAACAGGAGAAGAAGAGCAGCCATTTAGTAGATGTGCAGCATCTTCAACTATCCCACAGCTATGCAGAGAGCTGATCACCAGGCACGAGCATTGTAACAGCTGTCAACAGACTAAATAAGCTATGATGGCTTCTGGGAATTAACATGCAAAGAAGCTGCAGTCTCAGAGTGCATAACTTTGTATTTCCAGTCTCTTTTCTTGCTGTTCACAGACTG